AAGAAGAAGAAGAAGGGAAAGAAGAAGGAGAGGAAGAAGAAGAAGAAGAAGGGAAAGAAGAAGAAGACGAAGAAGGAGAGGCAGAAGAAGAAGACGGAGAAGGAGAAGCAGAAGAAGAGGAAGAAGAAGAAGGAGAAGCAAAAGAAGAAGAGGAAGAAAAAGAAGAGGAAGAAGAAAAATGTCAAAATGTACTTGTATTCGGAAGTTATGTCTCATTATTCGAGCTTCGAAGGCAACAGATGAGTCTCCCTAAAATGGAAAGTTCATTCAAGTACGATCATAATAAAATGAGGGCAGATAAATCCATAAGCCAAAGAACTCATTCCAGATATTGGGGGCGGAGTGCGAGCACACGGAATAAGAAGTCCCGGACAACCGACAATGGCGATCCTCAATTCTGGGGGCTGAGCGGGGGCTAGTGAAAATTTTGTTCCATAATAGGCGGGGAAGTTCTTGACTACGGCTCTGTTCCATGTAGTTAGGTTAGGAACTGGAAATACACTCAAGCATTACTTAGAAATTAAATAGGTTATATATAAACCGTCGGCACAATGCACCATGTGATTCTGTCCCAGGGAGCGTTTCTAAAATGTCAGAGTAGAATTTTCTCACATAAGAGTTTCAACGATTCGTCAGTTACATTACTCGCATAAAAAAGTTTGCGCAGCTGCCATATTGACTTCACGTTCAACTGTTTCCGCCTCAACTGTCGCACGACGGCCATGTTGATGGTGTTCATGACGGTAAATAAAAAGATTGCAAAGATAGGGACCTGGTCTGATATTAATTTGCTTACACACACACGTTATCGTATTTTTCCTCTTACGCTTACTTGGGCATGAGAACTTCATATTCCTGAAGTATGTTAGCAAAAGTAGTGATATACATAACCTGATAAAGGTAATTCATGCTTCAATATTAACAGGGATACAAACCTACAATACTAAATATTTAAAATTAAAAAGCATAACTACTCATTTCCTTAAATTCATTTAACATGAAGTGCATTTATACTTAGATAAATAATAAAATTAGTCGTAAAATAAAATAAAATATTATTAGATTGCTTACAGACCTGCCATCCTGTTCTCAATTTTTTCTTTGCGTTGTATGTGAGATCATAGCGATGAATTTCTATAACTTGCTTTCTATTCGTGTTTTCTTTGCGTTGTATGTGAGATTATAGCGACGAATTTCTATAACTTGCTTTCTATTCGTTGATAAGTCTTTCGCATCCATCGAAATGCCTGCAATGGCCACTTTATATTCACTTACACAGTTCCGTGATAAATATGGTAGATCGCGTCAAACGAGTAGAATTATAAGCAGTTGTAGTTGGTATCGTCTCTTACTAAAATTCATTTAA